AGGTGCCAACTCTGAAGTGGACAAGGAATACTTTTGATAAACGAGGAATTTAACTGATTTTTAACTCCCTTCATTTCTCTGCTATTCTCCTGATTACAGGAAAGGAAATCGGTAGCTACTACTGGCGTTGAAGAGACAACACAGCAACTCATGAATTAAACCAAAGGTTATAATCAGACTTTTTTTTATACAGCGAAGCACCTAAATTAGTAGATATTTTCTTTCTTCTTTGAGGCTTTTAGAGAATGATTGAATTTAATTGTGGGAGCTTTTCGTAAATTCCTTTTTATGAGTTTTGGGTTAAACTACTATAGTTTAGTCAAGTAAAGCTGTACTTATGCTGCATGCTTAATGTTCCACAAAATCTTTTTCAATAAAGTAGTCAATAACATGTTTTAAGGGTGAGAAGGTAAAAATGACTAAAGAATAATCTCTTTGAGCTTTTTCCTTTATGCATGAATGATAATAGTTAGTATTGGAAAAAAACTGACAAAAGCTGGAGGTAACCCAAGACATCATTTTTGGAGGTCCTTACCTTTAACCAGTGTTTACATCTCGAGATTGATTGAAAAAGATCTTACTAAATCAGATAACATTTGTATTTGTGTGATTATGAAAAGGCTTCTATTATTGAAGTAGCAAACTGCAATACATTGCTGCTGCCTTCAGGCTCTGTCTTCTGGTTTGGATGATTATCCCCATGCATCACAGCCCAGTGAAGATGAACGTCACTTGGATCTTAGATGCTGGATCCTTCTTGCAGCTGATTGCATGGGTTCCATTGGGAAGTTATTTGAGATGGAAAAGACATCTGCAGAGGTATAACAATGAGGGGAAAAGCACATTGTCTGATTTGTTGGACATTACCTGTCAACTAATAGACCTTGGAAATAAATTGATGCAGGAATATGGTTCAACAGCTAAGTTGCTTTCGGACTTTGCGGCTCTGAATCAGATTTGTCTACTATCACCATGCTGCTGAAATTTATTGTAATTTCATTACATATTAATGCTTTTAACAGAAACATATGTTATGAACTATAACCAAGTGCAATGGCCAACAGAAAAACTTTGTAGCTGAATGCAGTGTATGTGCATTCTCATTACAAGTACTACCTTTTTCCTTATTTTCCTCCTCCAAATGGAATCATTTACCCATATGTTGTAGCATTTAGATTTATGACATGTTACATGCGTGAGACTGAGATACTTTACAATCAAATATTTTCATACTCATGTGTGTGTATCTTAACCAGAAGCACTTTAATCAAGTTCATGGAGCATATTTTGATTTTGGCAACCGTACAGAAAAGAAATTTTGCATGTTTACAAGGTTCCCAGTCACCATATCAGTAGTCTAGTTACATGTCTGCACATGTTACAAGGTTCCCAATTACTATATCAACGATAAGTACAAGCAAATTGATAACATTTTCCAACCTTTTTTTTTTTAATTTATATTCACTTCATCCTTCCTATTCTGAGTTATTCTTCTCTTGTTCAATTCATTTCATGAGAATAAGATTTTGACTAACCCCAATGCCCTGCATCTATTATTGACTAGCTATAGATTGGCTTTTTACCAGATGCATTTTGATCAAGTTCATGGAGCATATTTATCTTCTGTACTGCTATTTGTTGGGCCTGTTACATGAATGCTCAAGATGAATCATTTCAATCTATTTTTTTTTCTTTGAACAAATCATTTTAATCTTTCCAGGTGTAATTAAGTTGGACAGTGGTAAAGGCAGGAAATAATCATCCAAGGAGAGAGCTCATCCAGGAAGTATCAGAGACCAGAGCCGAAACTGGTTCCTCATATTGGATATGTCAGCCTTTTCCCCTTCATGGCAAGAATTATTCCACCTGTAAGTTTGTTAGAGGATTTAATGATGAAAACACTGCTTTATCAGTTCTACTTTTGCCAATGTTACGTTACTAAACTTGGTTGACAAGTTGTTATTCCTGATTCAAATTGGGCATCAACTCACTTGTTTTATTCATTCAGGAATCCTGGATTCTGGGAAAGCAGCTTGACCTCATCTCAAACAAGAGCATCTTGTGGACAGCTTATGGACTCCGTTCTCTTTCCAAAACAAGGTGATCTCACAAAACAATCTGATAGTGTTAATATTTATATACTGCGTGCTTAAACTATGACCTAGTTGATCTTGTTGATATTTTAAGGCTTCAAAACAAATCTGAAATCTTTGTATATGCCACAGCACGCTGTACATGAAGCGCAACACTGAGCATGACCCCCCATACTGGAGAGATCCAATTTGGATGAACGTGAACTACATGATTCTTTCTGCTCTCAAGCATTGCTCATTAGGTAAGAAGAAGATATTGCCTATTCATTTTTTCTTTTCACTTCTCCTTTAGAAACATCTGCTATTAATTTGCATTTTGACCCTCTGGATCAAACTTTATATAGTGAATGGACCATACAGAGAAAGAGCCAAAACCATCTATGATGGCTTGAGGAGCAATTTGATTAGGTACAGCCCATGTTGCCATAATATTTATTTATATTCTTAAGTTGGTCTTATATCATATTTATAATATATATGCTTGCCACGCTGCAGAAACGTGGTTCAGAACTATTACCAAAATGTGCTCTGTGGGAACAATATGATCAGAAGCAGGGAAAGGGAAAAGGTGCTCGACTGTTTACTGGCTGGACGTCACCTCTGCTATTGATCATAGCAGAAGCTTATAGTGAAAGTTAGGACATTCAAGTTAATAATACTTGCCATGAGAAAGACAAGATTAGAAACAGAAGGAAAATTCAGCCAAAAACACAAAGAAACAAGGGGGTAAATATTGTATTCTAACATTTAGTTCTATATATACTGCTATGGTTCTCATCATATAAATTTTGAGAGAGGCTACACTTTCGATGAAATGGTTACTTACAAACTTAGTTGATGCTGGCATGAATATGTCAAGTATGCCTAGGAATTTTAACTTTGGACATAGAAGAAACCTGCTCAATTAAGCTTTGAGTCATGTTCCAAAAATTTATTGGGGTCATGAATCAATTCAACTGGATTGCACCCTCCTGTTCTGATTTCATTATTTCGTGAGCATCTAATTGAAATAACAGTGAGAGGGGCGAGAGAGAATTATCATCCGGAAAACCAGTCCTTTCCGTCCGAAATACCGATCTGGAAATTGGCTGACAGATCCACATTACCCTTGCAGTTTCCTCCCAAGTTTCTCTCCTATAAAGCTCTCTTTGTAACTGGAAAATACTACTGGTGATTATAACGTAGTTGCAGGGTAAATTCCTAGTCTTTACGGTTGTCTGAATGGGAACTCAATTATACAACATTCAGACCTGAACTTATTTGTTTAAAGAACCTATCTTTTTATGGGTGCTGGCTAGCCTTTTGACATAATTTATAAACGTTATAGATGCTTTTGATGATGTTTCTCTTGAATAACTCTCAATCAATCCAAATAACTTTCTCTCTCTTAATAATAAAAGACAATATTACTCATGTATATATATCCAGGTGAAATTGGATTGAAGTCTAATTGATTCCGGCCTCACGTACCTTACTAATAAAAATTGGCCCAGCAAAAGACGGTTGATGAAATTGGAATCAAGTCTTTTTTTTCCTTTTCTTTTCTTTTTTGTTTTTGGACAGTTTTTGTGTTTATATAACTTTTTAACCACGGTCTTTAACCTTTTTTTTTTTTTTTCAAAAGTTGAATTCAGTAACTAAAACGCCAATGCCTATGTGGACAAGTTTGTGACTTCTAACTAAGATTTTAAAGTTACATAGTTTTAAATTTGGTAAATTTTATAAAAATTTAAATAGTAAGGATCATTAAAAGCATAAAAAAATTGTGTTATATAGTTTACAATTATTTATGGTTCAAATTGTAAAAAATATATCGTTCTAAGCTATGAAAAAGTGGAAAAACCCTTGATAAATTAGGGTTGTTTGAAGATTCATTATCTTGGTGAAGTAAGTTTTTTTAGTTTTTATTATATTTATAGTTTGACCAAGGAATAATTATAGTCAACCAAACACTAAACTCTAACCACGCTAAATAATCTCCCTTTATTTATTTATTTTAATTCTTTATATGTTTTGTATGATCCATTTTATATTTTATAATTTAATAATTTAGACTCTATTTAATATCATTGTGTTTTTGAGATTTTATTTTTAAAATTCAAACCATCAAAATTAAAAATTAAAAACTAAGATTAAAAATTAAAATTACATATTTATTGGGTATAAAATTTTATCTGAATTTTTATCTTAAGATTTTTAAATTTTTAATAATCAAAACTAAAAATTCAAATACAACCATTATTCTATAATTCAGTATTTGAAATTTTTGCCCATTGATACGATTTGGGCTGATTTAAACCCAAATGATTCGGGCCGAACAAAACCCAGCCCACGAGTACTTCCGCTACGTGGATTCCGCTTCACTGAATAGAAGAGACGCACTTTACTGAGTTTTCTCTGCAAGTGCGATCCAATGGATGACCTGATGTAGTTCATAGCCGGAAATCGGCCGGAGGTGGTAGACGAGGTGCTTGGAGCAGAATCAGGTCCTCCGTAGATTCAAAATGAAGACGATTGTCTCCACAAAATTACATCCAAATCGAAGGCCAGCAGGGGAGGAGTAAAGAGGACGGCAGTGCACTCGGAATTCTCGACGCTATTCTCAAATTTCTGTTACTTTTTAGCGTTTTTCCGTTCGAAATCATCTTTTTCGCAATTCACATCCGTGAATCCCGTTGAAGAAGCTCAGACACCTATTCTTGGAGTCAAGACAACGGCAGTGCACTTCGAGTTTTCACTCCCTTTTCTGCTTCCACAATCATGGACTTATCTCAGAACCAGGTAAAGCAAAATACCAATTTTGTATATTTATTTCGTACTTCCACATCTAATTTTTTAAATCATAATTTCTTTACTTATTGTATAATCTAATAGGTTTAACAATTTAGTTGTGTCCTCCATTTTGAGATTCCCTTGATTAAAATGTAATGTTAAACCATCAATTATGTAGCCTAATTACCATGCTTTTAATCTTAATCATAAATTTAGGGTTCAATCCTTAATTTTTATATATAAAAAAACGTAAAAACATTATGGTTGTTAAGTTGGAAAAATCTCACACCCAGAAATAAAAAGAAACATGTGTTCCTCACATATGGAATGATAGAGAACATTTTTTTGCTTTTGATAACAAATGAAATATAAGATTAGAAGAGAACACAACTTTGTGTATATGTTCAGTTGCCTAAAAATATGGCAGTCTTTTCTTATGAGTTGATTGGTGCTCGTCTCTATAAATCTATGAAACTTGAGCTTCAACATGCAATATCCCTTGGCTCTTCATGGCATCGGGTCTCAAAGGGCCTTGGAACTGTTCGATTTGGAATTTACCAGAGAAAGCTGCCTAAATATAAGCTGCAATGACAGGAAAACAATGATAGTAACTTTCAAGGTTTTTTAACCTAGCTCTCTATTTGATTAAAACCCTTTTGTCATTCTATCTTTAGAAGTTGAAGTGTGTTCATCAATAAAATTTAGGTTATAAGCATAAAGGTTGCATCACAACCACACTCAACATCAATTTCAACAGTTCAAAATAACATAAACAAGACAAGAGTTACCATTAAATATTCTCTAAAGCACATAACAAAAGATTGAAAACACCAACATTCCTTGTCAACAGAAGTAATTAAACTGATATTAACCTATTATTAATTGCAACACAAAGTAAACTTCCACCAAACTGCTGATTTGTCTTCGTAATTCAAACCCTCCAAAGCAGAAACTACATTGCAGAACAGACAACATTCTTTGGAGTAGAACTAATAAGCCACCCAAGACATAAACTTATTACCTGAAACAAAAAACAAAAAGCTTATAAATTAAATTGGGTTATACATGTATTATGAATATATAACTAGATGTGAAAGTGAAAAATACGCACCTTCACCCATGGTCTGAGCTTCTTTCGCCCTTCAGCTTCTTTTGCAAATGAGCTGTATTCATTACAATGAAGACGTAGATCCTATCCTTCATTCCTTCAATGAAGCAACGGTAGGCATGTCTCCAAGGCCTCTTGATCATCAAAGTTCCAGAGACAGCACAAAATCCCACCACAAATCCAGATGCAATTCCTGTGTGGAACCACATCTTCTCAGACCATTTTTCATATCTTTCCATGCCAGTATTGCCTTCTGGAGCATCATTTTTGTGTCTCGAACAGTTGGTTGACAAAGGAGTTCCACAAAGTTTTGGGTTGCCTTCATAAATGGATGGATCATTGAAGGTTTGGAATTGGTTTGCTGATGGGATTGGTCCAGACAGATCATTATAAGACAAATTCAAATGGCTCAATAATGTCATAGACGTCATGCTTGCTGGAATTCGGTCTGAAAGATGGTTGACTGAGAGGTCAAGAGTTTCTAACAGCTGCAAGTCTTTAATCTTCTCAGGGATATTTCCTGTTAACTGATTCCGAGATAAGTTCAATGTACCCAAGGCTGAAAGCTTTGTTATCTCCTCTGGAATTCCTCCTTCAAGATTATTACTTGACAAATCTATCAACTTCACGAGGGGAATTATCTCAGTAAATTCAAGTGTCTGTCCTTTTACACTAAATTCCATATCACACTCACCAAATAAGTAATGCTCATAAGAATGATTTGCAAAGCGATACATGCCGCTTAAATTGCCTAGACATGGTGGAACGAACCCTGAAAAATTATTCCACCCTAAATCTAAAACATGGAGTTTAGAAAGATGACATGATTTTTTAGGTATCTTTCCCCTAAACATGTTTCCTCGCAATTGTAGTATTGAAAGCGAAGGTAGATCTCCGATCCATCTTGGAATGCCTCCAAAGAATTTATTGTCTGCAAGACTAAGTTCCAACAAGCTTGTGCAGTTATGCAAAAAAGAAAGCTTTCCAGAAAGGTTGTTGCCTTTCAATTTCAAATAAGAAAGCTGAGACTGCGAGCACAGTGAACTTGGAATGCTGCCAGGTAAATTGTTATTGGAAAGATCCAATGCCACCAAATTCTTCAATCTCTTCCACGAGGGGATCTCTCCATAAAGTTTATTATTTTCTAGAGATAAAGTTCTTAAGCTCTCCAACTTGCTAATCGAAGAAAGAATTTTGCCATTGAGGTGGTTTTCAGCAAGATCCACATACTGCAAATCCAACATAACTCGGCCAAAGTCTACTGGAATGGATCCTGATAATAAGTTGTGCCTCAAAAAAAGAGTCCTGACACCAGAAAAGAGTGGAATCGATCCTTCAAATAGATTAAAACTGAGTTCTACTTCTGCACCTGGAGCAAATTTTAATGATCTTGGAAGCCTTCCATGTAATTTAGTTCTTGAAAAAACTAAAAAGTTAATTTGTGGACTCAGTTTCCAAAACCATTCAGGTACAAAATCTTCGATGTTGATATTCCAAAGGATAACGTAGGCCAGTTCCTTCTGAGTTAGGAACCACGCAGGAAATTTGAGATCCATTTGGCAGTTAACAACTATGATGGAATTTAGACTGAAAGGAGGAACCCAATCATGTCCCACATGGAATGTCAATGACTTTTCTCCAACATGATTAGAAGATAAAGCAAAATCTTTCAGATTTTTTAGGTGGAGAAAATGAATCCTAGATACAACACCTTCCCAGTTATTTAAAGCAAGACGTAAAAAAGTCAACTCTTTCAGTTGCCCAATGGTTTCAGGAATTGTTCCACTCAATTGGTTGTCAATAAGGGATAAACTCTCCAAGGATGATAGGTTTCCAATAAAAATTGGAAGCGGACCAGAGAGATAATCTCCACTAAGATCAAGATGCTTAATGTTCTTAAGATTTTCCAAAGATGGAGGTATGTGCCCGTGAAAGCCATTGGCAGACAAATCAAGCCTGACAAGGGTACTGATATTGAACAACAAGACGGTAATGGCGAATTGAAATCATTTTCTGAAAGATCAATAACCTTAATAGAACTGAAGTTCACAATTGGAAGAGAGGTAGGGATCTCATGGAGATTGCATCTAGGCAAATGCAACTCAACCAAGGAAGGAAGCACGTTTACTGCTTGCAACCAATAATTAGTTGATGCAGAACTGAGGTCTGCACCTCCTAAATTAAGGAATTTTAAGAAAGAGAGTCCTGAGATCCAATTTAAATCAGAAACCAAAATATTTTGATAATCTTGAAATGCATAGTATGTGGAGAGATCAAGGGATTGCAAGTTTGAGAAATTTCCAAGATGGGGAGGAACCAAGGCTCTAAAGGATGCAAAAGAGAGATCAAGGTATACTAACTTGGTGAATGAACCAATGAAGTTGGGGATTGGAGTTTGTTCAAAATTGTTCCAGCTTAGATCCAAGTATTCTAAATATTTCAAGTCAAGCAATGAAGGACTCATCGTACCTTGTAAGGATGCAAAATCAAAAGCTTTTGGATCATTAATATTAAAACTGATGGGCGGCATACCGAGGTCAAGCTTTGTGACATGTCCCGTTTGCCTATTGCAGCCAACACCTGACCATGTACAACAATAATTGCCAACCCAAGAAGAAAGCCGGCCTGAAGGATCTTCGAGACCTTCTTTGAACTTGAGAAGTGCATTTCTCTCTATCTCCCAGCAAGTTGTGAAGTTGGTTGAATAGGAAACAAATTCGCTAGCTTGGAGGGATATAAATCCATTAGAAAATAAGTGAACGAGAAATAGAAGAAGAAAATAAGTGAAAATGGAAGTGATCATGGTCAATGTTTTCCCTCACTGAAATAGTGTGTTTCAAGTCAGAAAGGAAATTGTTGAAGAATATAATGGAAGGCTTCTCCTTTATAGTGTTGCTGCCATGGGAACTGTTCGCTAAACTTGTCCCCTTGAGCAGAGAAAGAGAGTAATGCTTGCAAGGTCAAGTTGCTTTGCCCTCACGCAATAAAATTCCCCTGTTATCCACTCACCGGACAAAGAGTAGTGCGCAATTCGCCATTCGCGCAATAAATAATCTTGTAGTACAAGACCAATCGGATACAGTAAAAATCCAAATGTCGTTTTCTGTTCTTCTTACCCCATGAACAAGAAAAATCATGCACCTTCACAAGAAATTGAAATCAAGTACAGTAGATTGGGTCCATTAAGCCTGCTTTTCAAATGATTTCTCTAGCTACTCTGTAACCAACTTGGCCGAACACAATTTTCAGTCTTCTTCTTTATACCTAGTTGCATGGTTTACACTAGCTTGCATAACTCTAGAATGCGGGAAGTGAAATTAAATTTTTAATAGAATTAAAATAATGAGAAAATTTTAAGATATCAATTCATATCAATTTACAATTATGAAAAAAAAAATGTTAAGTTACTAAATTTTCTTTATTTTTCCCATAAATTAGTAAATAAATCTTTTTTATCAAAACTTTTTGATCTTAATAGCACCTGATTATTTCTTGTTAGAAGAAAAGGACAAAATTGATACACTGTTCTTTGTTTTTATGGCAAAAAGCTTTTAAATTGTTTCACAATAAATCTTTATAGATAATAATTGTTGATAAGTGCCGTCTTGTTTTTAAAATTTTAATTTTAATATTAAAAATTTAATTTTTTAAATACATTAAATTAATATTAGAGTCTATTTAATTATCATAAATCTCAGAAAAATAATCCAAAGAAGCCACATTTTTAGAAGAACTTGGTCTAGGAAAATTAGTTTTGGGCACAAATTTCATTGCAAAAAAAATTGATAATATTGCTCTATATAATCAATTATATTATTTTTTAACAAATTATAATCAAATTTATTATACTAAAGGAAAGTAGAGAAGGAAGATCACAGGACTCGAACTTCTAATTTAAAAGTATGTTCCCACTAAAGCCAAACGGAAATCCACTTGACCCATGCGTGCGGAGCAATCAATTATATTATTTTAACACCATAGCAAGTGATTATTTCGATCGTAATTGATTACTAGACCCAGAAGAAACATTCTTGCATTGTTCAGTGGGAAATGCTTTTTAGAAAATTATAATTGATTACATTATTTATAAGCACTTATATTTTTTTTCAAAATAAATTTTATCAATTTATAACAATTAGATTTTTTTTTTGGGGATTTAAGTAAAAAAAATTAAAAATGCCAAAGCAAACCAAGTTATATTATGTATACCACTTCCTTGGTAATATATACTTTCTGGAAAGGAGGATGCGAAACCGGTCCTAGAAAGGTGGCCTAGAAATTTTCTTAAGAGAAATTCGTCTCAAAATATTCAAGAACTGTTTGCAAACACATTCAATCTAAATAAAAAAAATATAAAAAATATAAAAAGACTACATGCAGTCCGATGGTAAAACATGTTTCCCATGTTAATCAGTGGAATAAATATGAAAATGGTAACCAGCTCGTAACCGGAAATTGACCGGAGGTGATAGAAGAGGTGCTCGGAGCAGAATCAAGTCCAATGAAGACGGTTTTATTGCAAGGATTAAACCGAGCTTGAAGCTCAATCGGGGGAGGAGTATAGCGAACGGCAGACCACTTCGAATTCTCATCGCCAATCTCGAAATCGTGCTAGGTTTCAGCATTTTAGCGTTCTTAATCATCTTCTTCACCATCGAACATCTGATGAATCAAGCCGAAGAAGCTCAGAGGTTGTCACTCCGTTTCCTGCTCCCAAGATCATGGACCTGCCTCGGATAGAGCAAATGCTTTAATTTTGTAGATCCTTTTTTGGTTTGTTTTAGTCATTGGCGCTGAAAAATGGATGATTGGCTCGCTGTGACAGTTTCAAGGCGAGCACAAAGAGAGCTTGTATTGGGGAACCTATCGTCCTCATGTTTATTTTGGAATCCGCTCAAGGTATTGCGAAATTTTTTTAGTAGCAAAGCATGATTTCTTCTGTTTTCTTTTGTTTTGTTTTCTCAGATTTGCTTTCTTTTGTTAAGCATGATATTATTTGTTTAACTTTTTATGCTTATAATGGGAATGACGTTAAGAAATCTGTGCTGTTGCGTATTGCTACCAGTTGATTCTTCATTCTTTGTGTATTTTCTGATTGATTTTTGGATGAAGAAGATTTAAGAACAAGAACTTAGCAAAAGACTTTGATGAAAAAAACACAGGTCTGGATTTTCGTTTTTCCAGCCTTTCTCACATTCATTTCATCTTCTTCTACACCTAATATTTC